GGGATATAAAGTCTGACAATATTCTCTTAGGTCTTGATGGCAGTGTTAAGCTAAGTAAGTGCTTTTTATTTAGCCAGTACTGTGTACCCGTCTTAATTGTGTTTATTTTGAATGTTCATGATTTTATTATACATTATAGCTGACTTTGGCTTTTGTGCTCAAATTTCACCCGAGCAATCAAAGCGAACAACAATGGTGGGTACTCCATACTGGATGGCACCTGAAGTTGTTACTCGTAAGCAGTATGGACCTAAAGTGGACATATGGTCTTTGGGTATTATGGCTATTGAAATGATAGAAGGTGAACCACCATATCTTAACGAAAACCCTTTAAGAGTAAGTATGTCAGGAATTGTGTCTTGCGAAGTTCCCAGTGAATTTTTCATCTTGTCTTGTTCCATTTTTGTGTGTGTTTGTTTGTTGATGTTTTTTTTTTCTTTTTTACTCAAAGGCTTTGTACCTGATTGCAACAAATGGCAAGCCAGACATAAAGGAAAAGGAAAAACTGTCCCAGATTTTCCAGGACTTCCTTGACCAATGTCTAGAAGTAGAAGTTGAAAAACGGTCTGGAGCCTCGGAACTATTAAAGGTAAGATACTATGTGCTGTGTCAATAACAAAGACTCATTTCGGGGGTGGGGCTGTCACACTTTTAGTGTAATAATGGGGCATTTAGACCATTTTTATCGCAAAGTTAGGTTGTTTGTTTCTTAAAGATTTTCTGCGAATAGAAGATACTATCGTCTGAGAGAATTGTGATGGTTAATTGATACTTCGATTTTGTTTCAGCATCCGTTTTTAAAACTAGCTCGGCCCTTGGCCAGTCTGACACCTTTAATCATGGCTGCAAAGGAGGCAGCGAAGAGCCATTAGATGTGCTAGTGACCCATATGAGGGGTCCTGACTGCGCTTTTGGTGGCCACTCGCTCACTATAGAATGTTTGACTTCAGTAAATTTATATTGTAGCCCATCATACCACTTCTACCCCTTTTAAAGTTCAACACAATGTTGTTTTGTCTGTGCATTCAGTCAATTTTCAAATGGATATTTTGTTTTTAAATGGACAGTGTTGTTTCTCTTACTAAATTTTGTGAACCTTTGACATAATGTAAAACGAAGTGAGTGGCAGCAACTGTCACAAGCTGAAAGCTACTGTGAGTTTGTTTGAGAAAATTTTCATCTCGTTTCTAAATTGATTTCTTGCCTCAAGCATTTTTTTCTTTCAAAGTGCCATTTTTGACTTTAGGACATCTGTGATTTTGAGGAAGTTCTTAATGCTTGTGACTCCCAACAATTGTCAAAATTAAGTTGGTTCTGTGATCTTCTAGGAGTGTGTATATTCAACTGTAGTGAGGAGTGGTCTCCTACCCTGTACTGTATAGTGACATATCTAAATTGGACATTTATTTATAAAAGTGATTAACTGATTTGAGATAGATAGTATGCCTTTGCATTTATTTTAGGACATCAGTCATAATGTGATGAAGAGAAAATATGTAAATGATTGTTAGCGTGTAATTCTAATTCAAAGGAACAAAATGGGTGAATTTTTTTAAAAACTTGTTTGTACTGAGGGTTTTTATTTCTTTGTTCATGATAACTATTTTTAAAGTGTAGTCCTATTTCTACTTCTAGGACTTCTCCAGCATTGTTCTTAATCAGGGTTGTCAAGACAAGTAACAATAGGTAGTTTGTCACTTAGTGGGTCATTTTATAGGTTGTCAAATTCTTTGCGTTGTGTGTATCTTATAGAAAGTCCGGTTTTTAATAGATTTAGCTATCTATTTATTTATTTTTAAATGTGTATTTCCAAACTTAATGAGAATGTAGATCATTGTATCAAAACTGATCCCGAAACATAAATGTTCGTGAAGTGTCACTGCTGCATCAAAACCATCATTATTCTATGAAAACGTGAAAGTTTAGAACTAGCTTTGGAACGTTTTTGAATCATTGAATTTGTATTATTCTGCAATCACTCTTGAAACACCTTTATCCTGGGTTTTATTAATTATTATTATGAGGTTTTAGTTCACATTATGTTCAATGTAGCTTTGTCATGAGTCACATGTTTCCCCCTCCCCTGTTCTTTGCCTGTTTTGAAAATTTTCTAGGAAGGGTTGTGAACTTTTGTAAAGCTTCACATCAGTCATGCAATGCTCCATCCTACTGTGGCTAATGCCCTATTTTTCTGTATGTTTACCTCTGTACTCAATGTATCTGCTTGACTCATTTTGTTCCACAATAGAAGCACAATAATCCAATTACATATAAATGCTACTAACCAGGAGTGTCAATGTCTACAATGTGTGATAAATGTATTGTCATGAGGTATGGAAAATGATTTTTAATTTTTAAATCATTTTATTGTGGAACCCTGTAATAATGCTTGTTTTGTTTGCTCCCTAAATCATTTACCCTATCTCATGCCTTTATGTAACAATCAGATCAAGAGCAGGTAACGTAAGTTTTATGTTGATAATACCAAAAAATGTGATAGTTTGCTCTGGCCAGTTATCGGGCCAAGTAAACTTTTACTGTGTGGATTGTTCTGTGCAGTGTGTGTGTTTTTCTTTGTCTTTGTCTTCTTTATTTTGATCCTTCTGTTACTTTTTCTTGAGGGGGATTTTCAGCATAACATTGTGTGGTTTACACACATTTTTCTGATGAATTAACTCTTTCCATATTTCAGTTCAAATCAATAAGCTGAATGAGTAGCCATTAGTTTTCTGATTGCTCTCCTGCCTGAATTAATATTGATTCCTTTGTGCTTTTTTTCTTTTGTTGTAAAAAGTGACAATTTTTACATTTATGAAGTAGCCTGTTTTATTTTAAGATTGTTTTTAATTATGATTTAATTGTTTTCCTCCCTTTTTTAATGACATTGTGTCGACTTGTGTTGTAGATTTCAAATTTGTGTTGGTAATACCAGTGTGAATGGCCTAAGTAAGATTGTGAAAAATAAATGGTTTATACCATGTGCATGCACAATATTCAGAGCCACAAATTCTCTGTCTGTACTTCCTTAAGACAAAAATGTTTCATGGGAAACTATGTGAAGGAAAATTTCAAGTTTTGGAGCAATCTTGCTTTGACTTTGCTGCCAAGTTAGCTTTATTTGATGCTGCAAGGTCACTTTACTCAAGCTTGTTCAAATTGATAGTCAGTCTTTCTTTTGTGTTAGCATCTTCTGAACATGTTTTAGTTTCCTTTTTATTTTCCCTTGTCTCTCTCTTTCTCTCTCTTTCCTGTTGTTATTTTAAAAATATATTATGTTAAACATGTGTCTTTTCTAACATGATTCCGCAGCTTCTTTGCAAAGAAATGAAAAATGTAAAAGCATCCAGTAAACCAATGGGGATTTTGTCGTCCTCGAGCATTTTGCTTGTGTCGTCAGCAGTATTAGCTTTTGTCCTCTCTAGTAATTTTTTTTATAAAATTACTTTTTTATTGTTATGTTACTGATTTTACTTTCTATTTCTTTTTGTATGTTCAGTAAACAGATATAATATAGTTTCTAGCCATGATTTGTTTGTGTTTCTAATTTCTCTCATTTGCTGTTATTCGAATACAGTTTTTTAGTTCATACTGAGGCAAACACACCTCAAGCACAGACTTAAAGTTGTGACTTGTGCATTTTAATTTGATCCGCACACTTCATTCCTTCACAAGGCATTTTTACCCGCAATATCTGAAGTGGCCTGAAGCTGAACCCATTAACTACGTTGAAAGAATCTTAAGTTTTTATTTGAGTGGCATTCTCTTAAAAGCTTTGCCTTTCTCTCTCAAAGTCTATTTTTGTGACAAGTTCTTCAGTGTATGCTATAATAGTGTCTCAAGGCTGTTTCATTATTTTCCTTCTGTCTCCAATCAAACTGGTTAAGTGTCATGGAATGAATGAAATGCAGGGAAGGCTCAAAACATATTGAAGACACACTGACAATAAGTACTTCATGTGAAGTATTCCGTATTCCTACCTACTTTTTTTGCACACTACATACTTAGATGGAGCAAAAGCAAAGAGACTTGACACATTGATAGAAATAAAAAGTACTTATTTTTTGGCTCTTCTAGTGTGTAGAGTGGTGTATTTTAAACAACCTTTCCACTGGCTTGGTATTTTATCTTATGGCAGGATACACTCCTTTGCTACTTTGCATTGGTATGAATTGGTGTGTGACCATCAGTTAACATGTATTAAAATTTACCGTTTCTGTTTGGTCAGAATGGTAATGATTTTGTTATTGTTAACACAGTATATTTAAGGGCTGTACCCTTATTATTTCTGCCCCATGTAAAATTACTTCTGCTTGTATTCAGCAAGTTACAAGATCATTGCAGATTCTATTTTGGCCATAGCCAGTGTGTTGAAAGGAAGGAAACAGACAAAATATTATCAGTGAATGGGCTTTCTCTTGTATTCCTTGAAGTATTAATTGAGTTTATTAAATTTCAATGTACACAAAAGTAATGCAGCTTTAACTCAACCTTAGAACTGCCATAGTAAAATTGTTTGTTTCCAGTTCCTGCTAGACCAATCGTTAACTGTGCCCGATTTCTCTCCTATTTTCATATTGTTTGAAATGGGTTTAAATAAATTATTGTACATAGATTACGATTTAGTCCCATGTTAAGGCGCATGGCAGTTCAGTCACATGATGGAACATCCAAAGTGCTATGTATCAAATCCATCGGCGGGAACTGAAAGAAACTGTCAATGATTTGACATCAATTATATGCTTTTATTACTCTTCAGATTTTTAATAAAGAAAAATGAATAAAACCATTTATCCCTTAAACTTTTAGCCTTGTTTTCTTGTGTTTAGCTCATTTCTGCAGCTTGATCAGATCATATGGCTCACTTGCACCTGCATTTGTGTAAATCCGCTGCATCATTACACACCTTATAATGGGCACATAAAACAAACAGGTCCGCTTTTGAGTCACAATGAGCCACAAAGGATCCTTATATGGTAAGTACTTGCACTGTTTGGATTATTCACACTATCTATGGACTGTTTCTGGGCCACCTCCATGCAATACTGAGGAAAGGCTGACAGTTAACAAGGGAATGAAGCCTACGATAACTTAATTATTGATTTGATTAAAGAAAATGTTCTGAGCTCCAAGCCAAGTGAAATTCTCCTTTGTAGAGTGAGTATGCTACATGACCTCTCCAAGGGGAAACCAGGAATATTTGTTTATATATACAATTTATACCACACAAATCTCACAAAAATACTTTAATTGTTTTAATAATTGAATCACTACAATTAATCACTTCATCTTGACTAGCTGTTACTATTTTTTTTAAAACAAACATCTTTCACCAGTGATTAGAATACAGATTAAGTAGAAACATTAGTAGACAGCATATCCAGCTCAAGATTTTTAAGCAGTCAGACATATCACTTGTACATGTGGAACCCTTCTTAAAATATCATAACGAGTAATGTAAAACTCCTCTCAACTTTGACGGTACTGGTACAGTCTAGCCTCGCAGGTCATCAGTTTACAAAGTCAGACAGGTACGAAAGTAAGATTATTCCGTTGTCCATATTGCCAACCCTGCCAGCTCCCACCAGAGATTTAATGTCAGATTACACGGCTAGCAAGCATTAAATTAATTACAAACTTTGTAACTATACATAAAAAAATAAATTAATCAAGAAAAGAAAGCTCTTTAAACAGGCGCACACTTACAACAAAATAACAGAAGAGAGCTGTAAGTTTTGAGAATCACTAACATCTGTCAACAAAAATTGTGATGTGAAACAAAGCACCATGAATAGCATGATGCAAGAAAACGCACTCCTCCTAACAATTACAAAAGTAATGGTCAGGCACTACTGGGCTGTTATGTATCCTGTTTCCACTAAAGCCCCTGACAATACATTAAGGATCTAGAGTTACACTAAATAGGATTGAGACTACTACAATAGGATCATTTTTGACAGAGTGGTAAAGACAAAAAAACAACTCCTAAGGTGCAACTGAAGAAGAATTATGACAAATGCAAGTCTAAACGGTTTGAATTGAGTAAGAATCACAAGAATCAGTGACTTAATAACTTTAACAATTCAACATACTTACTTTAAAGGGCTGGGTCACTTTTGCAGGAAATATATTAAATAACTTAGACGATACATGTTTGTTAACCCGTACATGGCTTCAATTAAATGTCTTTAAGACCTTAACCTGAGTAAAATTGTTAGAAAAAATGACAATGCAAACAGAACGCATTCTTCCAAAAGACCCAGAACCCGTTAAGGATAATATCCAACTGAGCATTTGTTCAAATCAAACATTATTTTTAAAATAGGAAAAGAAAATTGAAAATAGATTGACCATTTCTTAAGTACTCGTAAGAATTAACTTAGACATATCACTGTAGATTAACAAGACCGGTTCCTGAAGGATCGGCTGGACGAAAATCGAGCGAAGCGCTGTTGATGCAGAACCTCTTGCGCGTCGGTTTGGGCCCATCATTGAAGACGTGCCCCAAGTGGGCCCCGCAGCTCGAGCAGGTCACCTCCGTCCGGACCATACCTGGGTTCGCGATCAACAATAGCAGGTTGGCTCCAACTGTATGGCACGGTGTGGGAAGAGTGGCATTGTGGGTTGAAGGGCAAGGCACCATCAGAGACCACAGCCATGGCAGAGTAGCACAGCGAAGAGGCAGCAGAGTTCACATGGGTTCAGCCACCAAGCAAGGTAGAAGAGGGTAAAAAGAAAATAGGAGGAAAATGACAGTGGCAAGAAAAGGGAGCAAGAAAGACAAACGTAGAGAAGAGAGAGAGTTGATGTCAGTAGTGCGAGAATGGTGAAGAGAGATCAGAAACATTGTTTGATGACAGGTGCAACCGTAATGTCACGATGAGTAGACATGTTATGCACACAGAAGCAAACAAATATGCAGGCCCGATGAGTGGATGCCGTAGAGGAAGCGGATGTGGGGAAGGGAAAGAGAAAACAAGAACGATTAGCCTCCTCAGAGAGACACTCGCAAAACAATATTCCCACACCGAAAATGTAGCAGTTATATGCATCTGTGGACACATCCATCGTACAACCCAAATAATACAGGCAGATCAAGGGAAATAATCCTTCACCACTTTACTCATAGCATTATGTAGACAAATTTTTAAGAAGCTTTAAAAGTAGAGTATGTACAAAAACAAACTGTTCTTTTATATGAAAAGGAGCCCCCTTACATAATCCCACAACAAACACATAACAGTCCTACCCTTCCATAAATCATTTAAATTGTGAAAACAAACGTAGGAGATAATAAAGTGATGTATGTCATGTTCCGAAGAAAGATAGGTAACTTATTCTGAGGAAACCAATCTGGCATGACATCTCCAGAAAATAAGAATTTTGCATAATCTGATTTAAATTAAGTTCCAAAAACCTTAAAGGATCTTATTACATGAACTAATATGAGCGGGTCACCACATAATATTATATCACAAATGTATTGTGATTTATGGCTGCTCCAGTGAGATAAAGAGAAAACAAAATGACCCAGTGCAGATCATGATTAATGTAGCATATATTTCAATGGAGAAAAACCATTGAATGAAAAAGTTAACAAAGAAACAAACAAACAGAAAGAAATAATTAGTTGCAGATCCAAGATCAAAACAAGAGTTGATTGATGGCACTGAAATGAAATAAATGAGATGGGAAAGAATAGGTCCATGCAAAACGAAGAGGAGGAAGCAGTAGCACCCAGGTAATTTGGCAAAAGGGCCTCCTCATTCTCTTCAGCTGCTAGGGGCTCTACTGGATAGAAGGCAATGGTAGAGTCCTTAAGCTGTTAAGCTTAAGGCAGAGGGTGTAGCAAGAGGGCATTAATGTAAAGCATGTAAACCAGAATCTTGCATTCAGTGTAAGACTTGCAAGCTTACCATGCTATTAGGCAGCAAGTTTCACTTTATCTCACTTTGAGCTCATTTAATTTCATTGGCAATAAAATTATTCTGCTAAAAAAATGCTTTCCTTCCATACCATCTTCCTGCAAGGTATTTAAAACATAGTGAAGAAATCTGAGTGGCTTACCATGAGACGCGTCCTTGCTGAGCTTCACTCTTCCCTGATCAATCACGTCACTAAATGCAGGCCAGCCACACCCTGACTCAAACTTGGTGGATGATGAAAATAGGTCTTGAGAGCAAACAATGCAGCTGTAAATGCCAGCGTCAGAAGTTTTGTTGAACTTCCCAGTAAAAGCCCTAGAGATAAAATTGGTCATGACAATTACAGACAAACAGATACATTGTTTCCATTTAAATTCAACCATTACCTCTCAGTTCCCTTTTCTTGTGTCACATGGTATTGAATGGGGCTCAGTCGTTTCTTCAGCTCCTCTTTGGATTCCTTTACTTTGTCAGACATGGTTCTAAGGATAAAAAGATGTTTAATGAGCCACAATATTGAACATTTAAATATGAAATAAACTACAAATTATAAAAGTTGCAATACCTTTCTCCGGCAGCAACACCCACCCCACTCCAGACAACAGGATAGTTTCTTTTCAAAACAAAATTACCTACACGTCTTAAAAACCTGGGGAGGGAAAAAAACTTTGTGAGATGTTGCAATATATTATTCAGACCCTTTAGACCAGTGTGTTGAACACCAACAAATAACTGAAGCTCATACTCGAAGGGAATAGTGAGTTGATTTACAATAAATCAGAAAAAACTCGTAAAAGATTACATGTCATGATCCCACAAATGTGGAATTTGAATATGACATATTTTCGAATTTGAATTTACATCTTGACAAAGCTGTTAAATTGGTAATTTACTCCTATCCACAACTAGAATCACTAGAAGAGTCCAAGGGAAAGTGGGTTAACCTTGACACATTGCACATCGCGCTTCATGACCAAACATGGCAAGCACACACGCGGAAAGGCTTGCTGCCGAACCGAAAGGCTCACATTACTTGAGTGTCGAATGAAGACTAGTGCTTGAGAAGGGAACCAGATCGTAACAAAAATTGGAATCGGAATGAATCAGAAGCTCCGCAGTTCTGACTGAGCAACAAATAAGCCAATGCCCATTTAACTAAACTTACAAAGAGGTACTGGCATAGCTCATAGTTCCTCGAACAATTTAAGAAGCGCAAGGATATCGTAGAGAAGGAAGATAGCAAATCAGCACACCTTGAAAACACTAACTCAAAATGTCAAAACTCTTCGACCCTGGTTGTGTTGTTTGACAAAAAGAAAAGCAGAGGGAAGGAATTCAAACAATAACATTCATATTGGGGTTTCGACTGGGGGCGGGCGCTCCCCCGCCCCTCCCCGCGCCCCCCTGCGCGACGAACGGTTCGAAACTTGGTCGATTTTTGTTTATTTTTTGCCGCGAGTAGCGTAAGATCTGTCGCGAGTAGCGTAAGATTTGTCACGAGTAGAGTAAGATCTGTCACGACCCCGTTAGGTTAGGTTCGTATTGGTTGGCTTTGCTGGGACCAGCCTTACCTCCTGCCCTGACCCGCGCCTTGAATGAAACATCAACAATAGTGCGCGTGCGTCACACGCCTCATAGGGAATTACCCAGAATTACCCCAAAGCAGCATATCTGAATGTGGAGGAGACCGATCCATAGTATGTGAAACCACGGAGTGAGAACTGAGGGAGCCCAATTTACTTCCCCTGTAAACCCCAGTTTACAGTTTACTTCCAAGTCCAAATGACCACAAAGATAAAATGTTCTGTTTGTTTGTTATGCTCTTAAAATAGGTATGAATCCAATAAAATAGGAAAGAAAATGTGCTAGAAAAATATGTATTTTCGTTAGACATTTGATGGTTACAGGGCTATACAATTGGCAACATGTTATCACAAAATAAAACAAAAGCCTTCACATCGTATTCTTCCAGTTTATATTGCCTACAACCCATGTATATGGCACAACAAACATGCTGGACGGGCATGACAGAATTATAAACATTACGTCACTATTTCCAAAAGTGAGCCAACATTTTTCCAGAATACTTATTTACAAAAAAAGACTTGAATTACATTTAGCCTTAGTACTAAGATGTACAAGTGTACAGTTTAAGCATAGAAGACAAAATTTTGAGACTGCAAATAAACTTGCAAAAATACTGTATCGAAAAGAAATTGTGCTTGAAATGCAGTGATACGCTTAAAATTTAAAGTCACAGGTAAAGGGAAAAATTTCATTACAAAAACTGAAAGATTGAAATTTAAGGAGAGTTTAGAACACAACTGATACAAGAATACATGTTAATAATTACACTTACAAGATGTGAAGGCTATTTTTAAAAACTTACTATAGTCTGAAAATTGTGATTTCATGTAAATTTTACATTGCTTTAGCTGCCCATGTTCAAATTTCTGATATGAGTAACACAATAAATACACTTTAAACTGGCACAAGAAATGAGAGATTTATGAAACAAAAACCCAAAACTTCCACAGCTATAGGCCATGGAGCACCTTCAGACAGGAAATGAGGATGCGACTAAATACAAAAGCTGCAGTACCAACAAATAAAACTGATTTGCTTTGCTTCCACGTACGTTTCCTATTGGTCCTTGAATGCTATCACAATGTTAAGAAGGTACAAGTCAAAAGAGCACCTAAGTGCAAAACAAGTAAAAACAAAACAGAACAACGAAGACAACCCTAAAACAATCTAACCATCTCCAAATGCATCTCCATAGCATATAATAAATAGGCCTCTTTCGAATAAAATCAGCTCCACATCTTGGAAAATAATTTAGTATTTACAAATAAGTATATGAATCTGGCTCACTTAAAGCAGACCAGTTTTATTTGCAGCTAATGTATGATGAAGTAAACTTAGTGTTTGCAATAATGTCCAACTTGAATACACAAAATCAACCCACAATTATCACACCTAACATGAGTGAGTCATGAATCACTTTAAAAGATAATATTACATGGCGCCACACCCTTGAAAAGGATTAAGCACAGGAGGTATTACAATTGTTTTAGTGTGAAATTTAATAATTCATACAGAAATGATGCAATCATCATAATTTACAATACTCATTTCCACTCAGGAAAACCAACACTCATTTGACCTAAGGTCATCAAGTGTGCTTCAAGAAAGTTTCAGTTTGATTAAAATAAAAATTCGTAACAAGAATGAACATAACCAAATTCAGAGGCTGAAACTTAAAATGTAAATTGTCACATCTTCAGGCCACATCCATACATTCTAAATCGCACTCAAACACAATCAACAAATGAAATCCATACACAATAACATTATACACTATAAGATCCTAAACAACAAAAACCAGTAATCTTGACAAGATGATTATTTCAAGCAGGGAAATACAAAGGAAAGAACTTAATAAGGCACAAAAGAAACTCATGTTCCTCAATTTAACCCAACATGCAGCTGCTTCATTCACAGGCTATTCATCTCACTAACACTTGTCACAAAACCAATGTGTCGTAAAACGCTGGATAGCAATTGGTTGTACTTTCAAAGAACAAGAAAAGAAGATGAAGTAATGGCCATAGTATTTCTAAAAAGAGGTTTTGGTCTAGTTAATTAAATTGTTCACATCTGAATAAGGTGATTTAACTTCAGCTCACTTGTGAGTCACTGTTGGCAGTGAAACCAGCTCTTGCATAGCCAGCTTAGAGAGCAATAAAGCACACACGAGAATCCATTTTAACTTAATGGTAAAATTACATAACATAAATAGAAGAGAAAGGACATTACACATTAAGAAAACCGTAACTTCACAAACAACAGACAAAATAACATCAACAAAGAAACCTCCACCTGCTATTAGTCACAGATGAACTTGGTGACAGTTAGAATATTTGAGCAGCTAACATTAAAATGCTTAATTCTAAAATAGAAATCACAATAATGAACTCCAGCAATGATCAAAGTACAGAGATAAGAGACATTAAACTTGTCTTACCAATGACCGGCATTTTAAACTTTTGAGTAGAAGAGACTGATGTGCCATATTGCATTGATGCTTCAGTATGCATTTAGAAAAAAAAAATACTAACACAAATTTAGAGATAAAAACCCATGAAATTTGTAAAGGTAAAACAACAAAAATTGAAACATTATCTGGGCCTCAGCACTGATGAAGACTAGAGAAAAAAATACATTCAGTAAAGTAACTTTTGATCAGAATACTTATATGACATAATTCATACAGAGTTTCGGAAAGAGTTACAAGAATTACATGAAAGTCCTCTCATGCTGAAAACCACAATTACAGTAAAACGTAAAAAGTAATAAAAGCAACTGATGATTAAGCTTGTAAAGTATCAACACAAAAACACAAGGTTGATGCAATATTCAAGACATTAATTTAAATTAACACGTCTGTTGAACAGTTATGGGCTTACGCTTAAATGAAAGGGCCTCAGAGAGACCAGATGCAAAATAAGTAAAAAAGAACATATTAAAATATGAACACTGAGTGATCACCAAATCACAAATTTATTTCTTGCTGGCATTATTCACAAAAGACGTGTTAGTTAAGAATATTGAGAACATATCATGAGTGTTTCACTTTCCCATTTACATGAGGAGAGCCCACTGCAGATGCTGCGGCCCGCTCGGCAGCAAGAATTGCAGCGCGCTGGAGACTTGTTTCCATGAAAAGTTCGTAAACAGGCTTCATAACCTATGACAACAAAAAGAAACAGAATTGCTTTCAGAAAAAATAAAAGTCAAAATGGACTTTTGGGAAAATTGATATACAGTACATGCCTTACAGGCAGAAGGATGAAGGGGTTAAGAGGAAGATAGGATGGATTATTTATGGGCAAATCTTATACACTGATTTGGAAAATGACAAAGGAGGGTCAAGGTCTAATTACCTGCAAAGGGGATAGGAGAGGGATTGAGCTGACAAGTAAGGGAAAGAAAATGATTGTAAGCCCATTTGAAGTAAGCTAAGTATGATAAACTTACGTTTTCCCAAAGGAAATTGGCCAATTCGTCTAATTGAGATCCAAACTCAACCATCTCTCCACTGTACCTGTAAGAAAGATAATATTCGAGTAGAGATTATCACTTAACATTCAAAAAACTACACAGCAAAAATAGCAGCAAACCATGGAATGACACATACCTTACATAAAACCATGTGACAAGGGTAAGCATTGCAATACCCATAAGGAGATTACAAGTGTTAGCTATAGAGTAGATGCCAAACAAACCAAAGACACCAGACAGTATATAGAATATCACAGCAATTGCGAAGAATACAGCAGGTGTCCTAGCAGCTTTGAATATATTCTTGCTTTCATTATGGCTTTTAAATTGGCTGTAGGTCTCTTCCAAGTCCTGATATTGAAACAATAAGAATGATAATAGAGAGAGAAAAATGAGGTGAGGTACAATACAAAACGCATCTTCAGATTCAGCACTAATGTTACTTATTTACCTGCTCTAATTTGTTTCGATACTTTTCAGAGAATTCGTCACCACCCATTTTACGCTTGGAACGGAATTGTTCAAGACATTTATCCTTCACACGTTCATGTTCCGAATCAAGATGAGCAGTACTGAGGTACGGTTTTGATCCACCACAAACTGACTCCATTAGTTGAGTGTACATTTCCTTAGCTTCAGCAACAGCGGATAAATTGTTGGCTTCTGCAGTTGCCTAAAAAAACGAGAGATTAAAAATATGCTAACCTAGTTCTTTTTAGTTCAAAACTGACCACAAAAGATCACTTACCACGAGCATAGATTTGGGCTCTGGCAGCTCATCACCCTTGTAAATTTCGATGTAAGATTTGAAGTATTGGACCAACTCCTTAGCTCTCACCTTCTGGCCACTGATTTCTTTTACAACAAGATTTTGGGGAGCCAGCAATCCAGGGATCAAAACTTGTAAATATTTTTTGAACTCAGACTCAATATCTGAAATTGAGAAAGCCAAACAGTAGGAAAATTAACAACATGCAACATAAAGTCAATTCGTTTAATGTGCTTCAAAACAGCACCATACCTCCTAGTTTTCCATCAAAACGAGGATTTGTTGCCACCGTAAGGCCAGGATGCGGCATGAGAAAGCATGATATTTCAGTGAAGCAGGATTTTATGTGTCTTCGAAGGGACTGAAGTTCTGGATGTTGTCTGTCTGAGATCTACATAAGAGACACAGTCGACACAATAGAAAAAAAAGCAACAAACAACAAGGGTCAACAATAAATACAATTTCTAACAACAATTGTGAATCAACCAACCTCCAGACGTCTTTCAAGGATTTTGTGACCACCATCTGGACCATAATCAGCCTCATAGGGGAAGCTCCAGTCCCTCACAAGAAACTGAAGCTTCTGGAAAGGCTTCTGGCCACAGTCAGCCAATGCTAACCTGCCATACTCTGTAAAAAGTTGCAAGTGTTGCAAATCGTCTTCTTGAATATTTTGAGATAGATTATAGATTTGGACAGAGCTAAGCATAGTGCTTAAGGCAAAAACTGTGGCACACTCTCTCACAGTGCTCTCACTGTCGAATGCTCCCTGTGTGTCCATAAGCAGCACAGCCACCTGTAACATGATCAACAAATAAAGTATAAGTATAAATTCTATCACAATGCGAAGGATATTGAAAGGTGATCACTGACCTTCTCGCCATTGGGAAGGTCTGTCAAAAACACTTCTGACCACATAAGAATGCCCGTTGTGTCTCTTTCCGATCCACCTCTCCACGAAAATCCATCTAAAGGAGCGTCATCTGTGCCTATCCAATCAGGAGAAGGCTGCAAATCACAAAACGAAGATTGTAAATACAGTCAACTTTTCATTGTCCACATATTCTATCAAGTCAAGTTTATTGACAAACCTGAGATTTCATGTAACGCAGGAAGAAATCTAACAGGAATGATTTTCCTTTTCTAAATGCACCGGCAACAGACACAATGACAACATTATGATCCTTTATATGATCCTGCATCAATATTGATTCAAGAGCTTCTTCATCAAGCTCAAATTTGTGGTCTTTTGTGACTAGCACAATGGGCACCGGGTGTCCTCCCATGGTTGAAATAGGCTCTAGAAGGAGAAAAGAACGAAAAACAAAGAAATAAGTTTCAACTCTTTTAAAGGTTTCAAGCACTACAACTAATACAAAAACAAAAACTGCTTTTTGCTGAAAGCAGAATTGAAAACAAAATCTTAATTTGAAATGAAACAACCTGCAAGAAAGAATGTGGATGATACAAATTGTTGTTTGATGTAGAGCCTATCCTTTACAAAAAGTTTCTTCCTTGAAAACGCAGAAAAAGAACTGACATTTCACTGAATTTGAAATGGCATGCAGAGAGCTCAGGCCCAGCTCACTAGACTCAAGCTTTCAGCCTTTAGGCTCTTCCAGCACCTTTGCCAAGTTATTTATAGGTCTGGTGGTCACATGCCAAGACTGTCAGTTACCAATTTGATACACACACATACATATGTTTGATTGCTGATCCCCATTGCAAGGAAAAATCATTAATGCTTGGCATTAAATTGTGCAATGACAACTTGTTAAACAATGCCCCACTTGACGTTCCACTAATTCAAGATTCAAAGAATAAATGCATGCATAACCCTATTAAAACACAAGGAAAGGTACAGGGAAATTAAGATTCTCTCTGGCCATTATTTCCCAAGTCATATTGATTGGAATCATACTTTCACTATGCGAAAAAAAAACATCCAAAAGGCTCAATTGTTGTTAAAAGCAATATGATGAACACTAGTAGAGACCAGTAAAAGTCATAAGACTTAAAAGATTCTTATAATTTGGAAAGGACAAACAAAAACCTAAAACACCACAAGAACAAATCAAATTTTTCATTCATTCTTTCATTCAACATAAATAGGATGTGGGAAAAATTTAAACTGATTTTGGCACAAAGCCAAGATGCGGCAGGGAGTGCTGACGCGGGCGGTTTGAGTGACGTTTTGCCGTTTGGCGTGGAACGCATGCAAAACTAGAGTATGCCAAATGAGCAAGGACATAATGGAATCGGATCGGGCGCGCGACCTGACAACAGACTGCCATGATTTGGCACAAACTCGCACAATTCACACGGCCTCACAGAAAATGCCAACCCCAGCAAAAAGGGCAGCGCTGCGGATCTCTGTTGACAATAATCAAGGGCGAAAGCCCTTCAACTTAGACCCTCCGTTGTGAAGGGGTTAGGACGCAAATTATGTTTTGAAGGCCAGAACGCAGTCGCAGTCGCAGTCTCACGTATGTGCAACAAAGAGGTGAACAGATAACAACTGGGACAAAGCGAAATTTTGTTGAAATCCAAAGAGGCGGGCATCTGAATATGGTAGCGTAACTGTCATTCATGGCACTCGGCACAAAATATGAAGAATTAAAATAAATTAAGCCACATCATTACCACTTACTATCTGTCCACCTTGATGGTGTTTCTTCTTCTTGACTTCCGTGTTTATATCCAGAAGCCACCATTTTCACAATATGACGTCATTTCCACAGATTTGGCCAGATTTGACTGACAGATGAGAGACGCATTACTTTCGTTTCTGTAACTTTACCAAGCACTTTGGAGTTCTATCAATGAACGAGATGACTTTTTTGTGAGGAAGTTTGCTGTGACAAAGCACATTCATGATAACACCGCGTTAACTTTAGCACTTTAGGTTGGTAAAGGTTGGCAGGAAGAATACCCTGGCCGAATAAACATTAGGGTCTTATGGCCAAGGGGGTGGGGCGAGGGGCGAGGGCAGGAATACATTACAGACACAGAATTCGAAGCAGTCAAAAATCTATATTGACTTTTCAACACCCAAAATGGGTGATTTTACGTGTCATTAAAAGTTTTACTAGTGTATTGCTCCGGAAAACGGACCATGCCCATAATGATGACGAACCAACCTCCAGGTTGGTGCAGATTTTGAAGAAAGGAACTTTGACAACTGAGAAGAAGTGCAACACGCAAGTAGGTGGGCCCATGTAACCTATCTTATTTACGCTTCAAATTATTTTTCGATTGTTATGATCCTTGTTGCTATAGATTTACAGCTGCGAGACTTGATAATGAATCTTTTTTTCGTTTTATCACTTGTACCAAAGTGGAATTCTTTCCCTTGTGACGGACAGAGGCATCATGTCATCTCCCCGACATTGATGTTTTTGTTTTGAAAGCAGACGAGAACTGCCGAGTTTGCATTCTTTATGGATTTTGGACTTGTTTATTCCTTTGAATAATCCGATACGGGTGTCTGCTCAAATTTTCTATTGTTTGATCTTGACAATGTCATTCCAAGAAAATGTGATAATTAAATTATTAATGTTGTCAAGTTGATAAAATCTAGCCTTATCCAAAAGCTAAGTCAAGTCCCATATGATAAAACTTAGTTATTTTTCTACTTTGCGTTATTTTGAGATGAAATAATCTCTATCAACTTTCCTGATATGTCATCTGGCTTCTGTGAAATACTTGCTTTAGACTGTTGCAATCTTCAGGTGTTCTTGATTGTTTAAAAATTTACATTATATGTATTTTAGTTTTGCAGCAATGAATATCATGCGCAAACTGAGGGGTTCGAGCGGTGGGGGTGGCTTTGCTGCTTCAGGCACTCAAGATGAAGCAAGTGGCAATCCACAGCACACTGCCCTCGGGCTCATGCACTTAAAGAAACTCTTTTCTGAGTACTCCCACCCTCAGCATCCTCTCAGTGAACAAGAACGCCACAATAAACTTTACAACATGCTGCCACTTTTCTGCAAGGTCAGTCACCCATGAGAAGATAAAATAAATCCTGTTTTCACAAAATTAATCACATGTTTGTTTCTCATTCACAGGTATTTGGAAACTGTCCAACATCAGACATGATTGATAAATTTCGTGATATCCTTGCATTTTGTCACCAAGTGTCAGCATTGATGGTTGCGGAAATTCGAAAACGTGCCTCTAATCAATCCACGGAGACAGCATCATGTTCCATTGTTAGCTTTCTTGAAATTGGTTCCTCTGAGGAATCCAGTAATGGATGGATGTTGTTATCTGCTCTCAACTTACTTGCAGCTGGAGATCTTAAACTTGTTCAGGCATGTTCTGCGCCATTTTTTTTTGTTCAAGTTCCAAGCTTGGCTTTGAATGGATCAATAATGACTGTTTGAAATGTTTCAGGTGATGACATCTCTGTCTGTTCCCTCAACACTGGTGAAGTGTTTGTATTTGTTCTTTGATCTACCTGAAATGAAAGACGCTGATACTGCTGAACCTGGTAATGAATTTACTCCCCGAGAACGTCGTATCCTCTTACAAAAGATTTTTGTGCAGGTTTGTATTTAGTCTTTAAGTTAAGGCATGTTTTTAATTCTATTTTATTTTCCTCCGTTATAAAAATAATTTGTTTCAGATGCTGGTGCGTCTGTGTAGCCATGCTTGTCCAGCTGAAGAGTTGGCCCGTAAAGATGACTTAAGCCTTTTATTTTCTGCTATCACATCATCTTGCCCTTCACAAAATGTGATGTGGCGGAAAAGTGCTGCAGAAGTTCTTATGACGATATCTCGACATGGACTGACAAAACCAGTTGTCAACTACATTCACAGTAAGGCCCTGTTTTGTGTTAATATTTTATTCTTAAAAAAAATTGATTTGCACTAATTTTTTGCTTTCATTCACAGACAAGGGCTGTGTTCATTTGTGTCTTGAAAACATGCAACGAGCCAAAGAGTTATCTCCTTTGGAAATAGTAGAAATGTTTGTTGCTGTTTTCTGTTTCCTGAAAGACTCAAGTGAAGTCTCTCAGACACTTCTGGATGACTTCAAGACCTGTCAAGGATATGCTTTCCTGTCTGACTTTCTGCTCAAGTACGTACCTGGGTGTTCATTTTCCTGTGTTGGCTTAATCTTAGCATATTCCATTTTGGGAAAATTGTATTGTTGACTTTCCTAATTTTAGGCTTGAGCAGGAGAAAGGCTCAGAATCTCAAGAGGCAACCCGGAATCTAGTTCTGATGTTAGCATCATTATCCACTTGTGGCTTCAAAGAATTGAGACCTAGCCCAGCAAGCCAAGGCTCCTTGTTTCAGATGGGAGGGTTTGTTCTTCCACAGCCATCTGGTCAAGGTAATTGTGTTGTACAGTGTAGTCAAATCTGTTTTAGAGATGAAGATCCTGTTTTCCAGAACAGTGAATTATTTTTCTGTACAGGTGCCAGTGTCCGCAATATTTCTGCATTCCAAGTCCTTCAGACAGCATTTTTGAAGTCGAATTGCACTGGCCTGTGTTCTTCTATTCTGGATGCTATATCTGGTGTCTACCATGCAGATAATGCTAACTATTTTATTTTGGAAGACCAAAACACACTGTCTCAATTCGCTGAGAAGATCCACTTAAAACCAAAAGAAATACAAGTATGTGGTTATTTTGTTTCTTAATGTTGTTTTTTTTTTTTTTTTAATTGTATTGATGAATTGATGTGCAGCTATTACTCTTATTTGAACATTGTCTAATTTTGCCTCTTTTCAGGACAAATTTTTCCAACTTCTTGAATTTATTGTGTTTCAACTTAACTTTGTCCCATGCAAAGAACTGATATCTTTGTCAATATTGCTCAAAGGCCAGGCATCACTCCCATGCAGTATAACATGCATGAGAACTTTGCTGAATATTTTGAAGTAAGAGCTCTTTCATAAATAGTATCACTGTTATTTATTGAGTTTGTTTCCATCTTATTTTTGAATTAATATCTTACTTTGGCTTCTCCTATAAATAGACACAATACTATATTTAAAGACGTCTATCGTGAGGTGGGAATCCTTGAAGTCTTTGTCACATGTCTGACTCGGTATGCGAACCTCCTTAAAGACAAAGAACAAACTTTGGAGCAAAACAAAGGTCAGCAGTCCTACCATACTACATACATTGCCCATGTTTTCAGCTTGATTATTTCTTTTTTCTTTTGTGATTTTTCTAGATTATGTCATTCCAGAAGAGGAAGTGGAACTAGGGATGCTAGTCATTGAGGCATTAACTGCATTGCTAGCTGGCAATGTCAGTAATGCAAATGTATTTAGGGAGTGTGGTGGGGCAAGGTGTGCTCACAATCTTGTACCCTATTTGGATTGTCGTAAGCAAGCCTTGGGTATTGTCCGTGAACTCATGATGGGAGCTGGAGGAGAGGATGATATGGGGACTCTACTAGGAATGATGCATACATCTCCTTCTTCAGCTCTAGAGCTTAAGACACATGTACTCAAGGTAACTTTTTAACAACTTGCCAATACAAAAAGAGTATGAAAGTTTTTGTGCGCCAAGAGTTTAACTTTATTTAAAAAAAATATATTTGTTCTAGTCCTTGCTACTATGCTTGCGAGAGAGTCACAGAACACGTACTGCCTTCCGTAAAGTCGGTGGGTTTGTGTATGTAACAACTGTGCTGGTTTCATTAGAAGGGCGGCTTGGTGAAGATAATGCCCAAAACTCTGAAGATATTGATCAAGTGCTGACACTTTTACACACAGTTTTTAATACGTTGACAGTCGCTATGCGATTTGAACCTGCCAATGCCAAATTCTTCTTGCAAGAGGTAATTTATGAAAGTCAATACACCTGGTTGAAATGATGGGAGATGTTCTTTGTTCTCATGCAGATTGTTCTTCCACAGATCTGCACATCGAGTCTTTGTGATTCCTTGCGTTTTCTTGGATGTTTCACATCCCAAAAATCTTTGCAAGACTGTGATGAAACCTTAATTGCCAAAGAGGAAAACACTTTTTACAATGTGTTCATTGGCAATGTCTTGGAGCCTAGGTGAGAAAGTTCACTTAGTATCTGTGCGCCTTTATTGACCTCTACATTTTGATGTATGTCAAAACTGAGGTAGTTTTCTAACATTTCGTACATTGTTCACAGCTTTCCTGAGCAAATACCTCGGAGCTTGTCCTTTGCATGCCTCGTACTTAGGATGCTCTATGATGTTGCTTTGGACGTTTATGACAAGCCAAATGTCACTGCCATTATATCATTCAAGTCCCCATCACATCGTAACAGAAACAGCATTGAGGTAGGTTTTGTGATTGCTGCTAATCTGTCTATCATTTTAATCATGCAGTCATTTCTAAGTGTGTACTAATATTCATTTCATCATCTTGCAGCCACAAAGATCCTTAGAATCACCATCAGGGACAAGGCGAGTGAATACCTTGAATCTCACGCCGCCGCCTCCTGATGCAGTCGTTGTACATCCTGGTGTTGTCTTGGCCATTTGGAGGCTCTTGCCTTCCATTCACCACAATGAACATTCGCAGGTCAGTTTCACTCAGCCTCAGAATGTGTTGGAGGTTGCTACTAAGATCCACATTGTTTTGGTTCTTAATTTTCTTTTTTGATAATTCAAATTTGGTTTTTAATTTAAATGCAGGTGGCTCTTACTCTTCAACTGTTTGCGGCTGAGATTCTCAAATCTTTAGTTCGATCTGAGCGAAATCAACAGGTCATGTGCGAAGCTGGCCTTCCAGGCCAACTGCTCCAATATGGATCTGTGGCATTGGAAGATGAGACTCATGCATTACACCAACCTCTGCAGTACATGCTAGAAAGACTGGCCGCACAAGGATTGGAGCCCAAGGACCTGAGGTGAGCTGTCAAAAATATGCATTGTGCATTTCCTCAAACAATTTTATTTCAAACCTTTTGTCACTTAATTTTTAACTTTACCCTGGCAGAGATTTTCTCCGGCTGGGAGACCCTCTTTGCTGCCTGCCTCTTGATGACTACCACCATGGCCGAGCTGGTGGGCCCGTCCCGCTCACCAGAGTCAAGACCATCGTCTCCATGACTACTCCTCGAGACTTCCGTGCACACCAAACTAGTCTGCCGCCCGCGTTCGTTGAGTTTGACATGTCTGCGGAGGGCTTTGGCGGCCTATACCTGCCCAGCATCGCCCCGCAGGGACCGTCGGGCGGCTCCGCCATCGTGGGGGCGACCCTCAATGCTGCTATTGACAACAATGTGACAGGAGGGATTGGATCTGGTAAAAAAATAATAACTGGGAATTTTGCCGTACTTGCTGGTTAAATGAGTTTATACCTCTGTCCGTCTGTTTTGCAAGGTGACCGCGTCTTTCCGCCTCAAACTGGCCTTACCTACTCCACCTGGCTCTGCGTCGATAAGTTCAGTGACCCACGAACGGATCCACACCCTGTGCGCTTGCTGACTCTGGTGCGAAATCTTCCTGAGAGCCATCTCATATGTCTGACTGTTCTTCTCTCTGCTCGGGATAAAGCCATCATAGTGAGCACTCACGAGACTCACATGCCCCATAGTGAGTACCTCTTTATGTGTCAAAGGAGTCTCTGTACAGCCCTTGCGGCTTCGACAACAATACATCTTTTTTTTTCTGCAGATGTGGGTGATTGGGAGCCAGAGGGACTGGGGGACTGTTCTGCTCGTGTCTGGTGTCCTGACCTGCTTCAGGAGGGCCAATGGCACCACTTGGCTCTGGTCCTGAACAGAGCGGTCCTCAAGAACTCGGCCTGCTCCGTCTACGTGGACGGCCAGCACATTCACACCCAGAAGCTGCATTACATCTCGCAGAACCCAGGCGGCGGAGCAGCCAATTTGACGGTAGCCTCTTCCGTCTATGGGTACATAGGCACGCCGCCCAGCTGGCGCCGGTACTCACGCCTCACCTGGAAGCTGGGTCCCTGCCACCTCCTGGAGGACGTGCTGAGCCCCCAGACGGTGGCTCAGGTGCACCAACTGGGTCCCCAGTACATGGGCAGTCTTCAAGCACCGCCAAGCCAGTCTGGATCGGAGCCTTGCCCTCCCTTAGTAACTGAAGACAAGGTCATCTTTGGACTGAATGCCAAGGCAGTGTCTCAGTTGACTCTGGCCAAGATTCGTAAGGTTTACAATCGAGCTGATAATAGGTCAGTGGCAAGACAGCTAGGAATGTCATCTCATGAAAATGCCACTCCAATTCGTATTCTACATAATTCAGCTGGGCATTTGGGTGGAGCTGCCAGGTCACTCGGTGGAGTCGTTATTGGATATCTTGGTGTCAGGGTATTTTCTCCACGCCCAGTTGCCAAAGTGGCTGACAGTGTTGGTGGATGTGCTGTGCTTCTGGGTCTCATTGCCTCTGCCCAGGATGTGGAAAGTCTTTATGCTGGTGTAAAAGCATTAGTCTGTGTTGTTCGAAGTAACAGATGTGCTCAGCTTGAAATGGATAGGAGAAGGGGATACCAAACACTAGCAATGCTGCTGCGTCGTAAAACACCTCTCCTTAACTCCCACATACTGCATCTTACCTTCAGTTTGGTTGGGTCTGTGGATTCTGGCCGTGAAAGTTCATGTGTCCCTAATGCCCAGGCTTTCCAAGACCTACTGTGTGATATAGAGGTAATTTTCTTTTTACCACCTTCAAAATCAACTAGTATAATCTTTTCAAAACCTTATATTTATTCATAATACAAATGATTTCAGGTTTGGCATCAAGCACCAGGAGAACTAGTTAAGTCGCTATTTGAACATCTTCTGGAGTTAGTGGCAGAGTCCAGCGAGAAAAGAACTAATTTGCGGCTTCTGCGAGACTTGATGCTGGTTCCGCGACTTCTCCATGTACTACCCTCTGTGATGACAGGGCCACCTCCTACTCGTACAATGCTTCTGACTCTCTTGGGAGTGTTGTTGGCTGGCAATCCTCGTCCAGTTGATCTGCTGCATTTTGGACAGTTGATAACTGCAACGCTATCTAGTCCTGCCATTGATGAGAAGAGCCTCGTCTTGGTGGAAGTCACACCTGTTTCGTGGGAGCAGGCCCAAGTTAACACTCAAGAAAACACATTGCATGACCCTGTGAGCTGTGTTCTTTTACGCAATCGATGCCTTCAAATGCTCCACTCCCTGTTGTTTAATGCAAGGAATACCATCAATCAAGCCTTCTGTAATGAGATTGTCCGGGTTCTTGGTCTTGATTGGGTGCTGTTGTGGACACAGCCCAACCTTCATCCAAGCACAGTAGTATGGGGTCTCAGAATCCTCGTTGCTCTTTGCTCCAACCCCCTCCTCCTTCAAAAATTCCGTGAGGGTTCTGCCTCAGGAGGATGGCTCCAGGACACACAGCGCTTACAAGATAAAATGGGAGGCCTGCTTGGCTATCAACTAGGAACTTCGCCTGGAGCACAGAAATCTCAGGAAATTCGTCTTGATGCTGTTCACGTGCCAGGATTCCAACGTTTGTCATGGCAGTTACCTTATCATCTAGAAGTCCCAGAAGTATACTTTCTTATCATGGCTCTTATGATGGGTCAACCTGTGAAACTTCTACCTGCAGATTCAAAGGTAACCATGGTGGTGGTTGTCTCTCAATATTTTTAAAAAGTATATTTAATTCTTAACTGGACTCCTTATTTTACAAATTTCTAGCTGGATCTTGACAATGTCTGGAATTTCTTATTTGGTATGCCTGCTGGGCAGTCTGTGAATGCACTTGCTGGTAAAGTATCACTTTGCCCCGAAGCTGTCACCACACTTCTTACCATGGTCAGGGCCATGCTAAACCAGGAAGGAAAGAGGTAATAGTTGCTGCTTAATCCAATACTCAAAAGTTTCAGTAAAATCATGACTAAAGTAATAATTTATTAACATTTTTGTTCTAGTCCTGAAAGTTTGCCACAGTGGCTCTGTGACTATCCAGTTACAATCATACAGTTCCTCTTCTTTTTATACCAAAACATGTTGGATTTCAAACCAGTATTCATGAGCAGTGAAGTTTTGAACGCATTGGCTGGAACTTTGTTCCCACGCGGTCCTGGAAGTGAGGCCAGCAGTTGCACCAGCTCTCCAGTGGATGAGGTAGGTTTATTTAAATTCCCTTTCTGGTAATGGATAGTATTTTTATTTACTGTTTCAATTCTATTACTTTTTCTGTTTGCAGGTCTTTCCTCCTGATGACTCCACAGTTGTCATTCATTCTCCTACCAAAGAAGGTGCTCTCACATCTCATCCCGCAAGGAAATTTGTGATGGATTTCCTCCGTGTTATTGTAGTGGATTCGTTATCCCTCCCTGTGTCAGGAAAAGGCCCGCCTGTCATTGACCTTGTTTTAAATGTATGTTGTCTAGTATAAGCCTGAAAATCAATCATGTCTGTATTTTAGACACAATTTAATAGTTTTTATCTGATCATCCGTTAGGCTTCACCAGACAGTGCTTCAAGCGCTCAACATACAAGATATCAGACTGAAGTGTTGAGTCTGCTCATGGAGCATTTATTGGCTGCTGATGTTCTTGTTGGGGACCAGGCAGCTTTGTCCATAGTATTTGGCGGGGCTGCAAATAATGTTGCTCCAAATGTTTGTTACCTGGCAGCTCGAGTTGTTGACAAACTTTGGCAGGGTCAGTTCTTTGCATTTTTTCACCAAAAAGTTATTAACATTTCAAAAAACATTTATAACTTTGATCTTCTGTTCTTTAGGAAACCTAACAAAGGATCCCCATGAAGTCTTTGATTTTGTTGTGAAACTCATTTCTCAAGCAAAACGTCGCCCTGGAGGCACTTCTCTGGAAGGTCTTTATCATTGCTTGAACCGAACAATACTTTTCCTGTTATCCCGTGCAACTGATTCCCTTACCCAACAAATGTCGGTTCTGGAAGCTCTACATAAACTCACCACAAATCGGTATGCATCCTTCTCAATGCTGTGAGCTTCAAAGCAAAACACAAAGGTTCCTGCTTAACAATTTGTCTAAAATTGCAGGGGGCTTGTATTTGGTGCTGGAAACCATGAATTGGACTTCGTTGGATGCCTCACTTATTGTCTATTACAGCTTACATCTGATATGAAAATAATGTAAGTACCTTTGTACAATCATTTCATCATCTTTAGTTTTGTGTCTCATTTGTTCAGTTTGTTACAATTAATTTCTTTTTCTTTTTATTGAAGGCTTGATACTAATATAAAAACAACATGGCATGTAAATCCACAAGTTGATGATTCAGATGATAAGCTGAACGCACGCCAAGGCCACAATTTGATGGTTGTTGCTGCCACTCGTGTGTGGGAGGAACTATATGTTTGTAAAAAGCCCGCTATTGAAGAGGTTAGTGAACTAAACATCATGGTGTAAAGCATGTTATGTCTTGCTTTCGTCATACCTATATTAATTTTTAAACATGTGCTGTACTGTCATATGTTTTGTCATATGTTTTGTATTACTTTTAGGTATTTAAAATAACACTTAACTCACCCAATAATAAAGCTCCCGAGTTGAGTTTGGTCCGTGACCAAGTTTTTGAGGCTGCTCACAAGGTCTGGCTAAATTATGTTGACATGGAGCGCAAGGCCACATGTAAAGTGCCTTGGGAGCTTCACAATCAGATCCAGTCTGTAAGTGCTCTTTGAAGTTACTCTGTGTATGTATCCCTATCTCAGCAGATTGTTCTCAGAATTCACTTCTCGTGCTTCTCTCATTTTGCATAGAAAATCCAAAAAGTTACGGGTGGCCTCACTCGATTGGCAAGTCGCACTAAATCAAAGAAAGAAGAACCAACCAAAACCAGATGTATGTTGTCTGGCTCAGAAATCCAATCATGTGCTGAACAGCACATTGGTTTGGTGCGTGCTCTTGTAGATGTGCGTCGGAAGGACTTCTCACAACACATGATACACATGCAGCGTATTGTGTACGAAGAATGGCTGGAAACAGAGACGGAGCTTACTCGCGAGCGGGGGCTTTGGGGCCCTCCAGTTGGGAGCAGGTAGGTACCCCTACTTCCCTGTCCACCTATTTTGCCTCTTTATTTTGCAGCTGTTACTGACATTCTTAATGAATTTCAGGCTTGATAAATGGATGCTGGACATGACAGAAGGTCCTTGCCGCATGAGAAAGAAAATGATGCGTAATGACTTGTTTTACATTCAGTACCCCTATAGACCAGAGCTGGACAGTGGAGACAATGTAAGTCACATATGCATTCCCTATTCTACTTGCATGCATGTGCAGTATACATTTTTTTAAAGATCACGCGTCTTAAATCTTTATTTGTTTCTATTTTTTTCTTTCTTTTAGAAATCTCTAAAATACAAAGTAGCAACCAGCTGGGATAGTAAAGATTATTATCACAAGTATCGTCCTCGGGGCCTGATTGACCACGAAAGGGATAATATGATTGAAAGTCATACTAATAGAGAAAAAGACAAAGAAGTCGAGGAAACTGAAGACAGCAACTCAAATATGGATGATGCTTCTGCCATCAGAGGATTCCAGAGTATAGTTCGGCACTCAGTTAACAGGTCAGTTTCTGAGCCTGATGATGCGGCTGATGATGGACCTGATAATACTGATGCTGAGGGTGAAGCTCAAGATCAAGATTCTACATCTGACAACCAAACCCTGATCCGACTTCTAGAACACCAAGAAAAGGTTTGCTGCAATCACCCTCTGGAGTTGGTTGGTATTGCTTTTATCTTTATTTTATGTATGAATTTTTTTGTTTCTAGATAAGTTACATGTTCCGCTGTGCTAGAATTCAAGGTCTAGACACTATGGAAGGCTTGCTTCTCTTTGGAAAGGAACATGTCTACATTGTAGATGGTCTCACTGTCGTACGTTCCCGAGAAGTCAGAGACATAGACTCTTTACCACCTAATGTTCAAGAGCCTATTTTACCCAGCCCCGGCCCGGGTAGCCCAACTCGTGCTCGATCTATGAGACACTCTTACAAGTTTCATTATGAGGATATAAGGTGAGATTGTTTCAAAACTCACTAATTACCTAAAGCATTCTATTTCTTTCTTTCTTTTTCTAACTCAAAGTTTATGATTTTAAAATGTTTCACACAGAGAGGTGCACAAAAGAAGGTATCTGCTTCAGCCTATGGCACTGGAAGTTTTCTCCAGTGATGGGCGTAATCAACTTCTGGCCTTCCCTAGAAAAATTAGGAACAAAGTTTACCACAGGTTTGTTGGGAAAATTATTTTAAGCTTGAAGTTGAAATTGTTGTTTTATTGTGTTTATTCTAACCTTGGGCATATTTTATATTTTAGGTTCCATGCCAATGCTACTGGCATTGCAGACAGTGCTCAGCAGTCCGTTGCTGGTCAGAAGCGGACTGCGAATGTGGAGCAAGCTGCTGGTCTTTTGTCCAATCTAATTGGCGAAACATCTGTAACTCAAAGATGGGTGGTGCGTATTATTACATGTTACCTATCAAAGCTGCTAATAATTTGATGAATCCATATATTTAGATTTTTCTTTTTTCTTTTTCCAGCGTGGTGAAATTTCAAACTTCCAATACCTGATGCATCTGAACACTCTAGCAGGCCGTTCATACAATGATTTGATGCAGTATCCAATTTTCCCCTGGGTTCTGGCTGACTATGATGCACCTGAACCCGATTTCAATGATCCAGCTACATTTAGAGATTTTTCAAAGCCCATGGGTGCTCAAAGCCCAGATCGACTACATCAATTTAAAAAGAGGTAGGCCATTTTCAGAGGTTTGGCTTGATAAAATATTGCAGATATCAATAAGTATTTCAATTGTATTTTTCACGTGACAGATTCAAAGAGTGGGATGACCCACATGGAGAGACACCTCCATATCATTATGGCACACACTATTCTTCAGCCATGATTGTTTGTTCATATCTTGTACGAATGGAACCTTTCACTCAGCATTTTCTACGGCTGCAGGTATTTTTGCGTATATTCACAGCCTGTTTTCCGCTATAAAATAATACTTAAAAATAAAATATTTTTGTTTTGTTTTTCCATTTTCTTGTTTACAGGGGGGGCATTTTGATTTAGCAGACCGTATGTTTAATAGTGTCAGAGAGGCTTGGCTTTCCGCCTCTCGCCATAATATGGCAGATGTGAAAGAGCTTATACCAGAATTTTTCTACTTACCTGAGTTTCTTACTAACTCTAACAACTTTGACCTGGGTAAGTTTGACACAGTTACTTTCTACACCTCACTTTTATTGCAATCTTTCTAATTTTCTTACAAATTTTGTTTAGGCTGTAAACAGAATGGGGTACAGCTAGGGGATGTAGTCCTGCCTCCATGGGCAAAAGACGATCCCCAGGAATTCATTCGAGTTCATCGTGCTGCTCTGGAGTGTGATGCTGTTTCTTCCAAGCTGCATCATTGGATTGATCTTATTTTTGGCTACAAGCAACAAGGCCAGGCAGCAGTTGAAGCAACCAATGTTTTCCATCATTTGTTCTATGAAGGCAATGTGGATATTTATAAGTATGTATTGCACTATTTTTGTTTACCTATTTGAGAAAGCTTGTATGCTTATAGAGATACTGTTTTCCAGCATTGATGATCCTTTGAAGAAAAATGCAACCATAGGTTTCATTAATAATTTCGGTCAGATACCAAAGCAGCTTTTCAAAAGACCTCACCCAGCCAAAAAACTCAATGGGGGCCCTTCAACTCCGGGGCTGAGTTTGAGCTTAAGGGAAACTCCACTTCCTTGCAATCAGAAACTTTTCTTTGACCAATTGGACAGCCTTGTACCATCTTTACAGCCCATCAAAGGTAAGGCCCTGTTTCTTTATTATGTATTATAATTATTATTATTGTTTAATAATTGATGGATTTCCTGTTTTAGAGCTTAAGGGTCCAGTGGGCCAGATCCTTTGCATTGACAAAATGTTGTTGGCGGTGGAGCAGAACAAGGTGTTGGTGCCGCCTTCGTACAACAAGTACTTGGCTTGGGGCTTTGCAGATCACTCCTTGAGAATTGGTCACTATGACAATGACAGAACAATTCTTGTTTGCGAAGCAACAGGAGAAAGTAGTGGAGAAGTAGTCGCTTGCGTTTGTCCCTCAGCTAAACTTGTGGTGACTGCTGGAACTTGTTCGGTATGTTTCATTCGGCACAAATTGTGGTAATGAAGTCACCTTTCTTATTGAAAATGAATTATCCTGTGCAGGTGGTAGCAGTTTGGGAGTACAACCGCCGTCAGCTGAGAGTCAAGCAGTGTTTGTATGGCCACACAGCAGCAGTCACTTGTTTGGCAGCTAGCCCAGCTTACAATGTAATTGTATCAGGGTCTCGAGATTGCTCTGTCATTGTTTGGGATCTGTCCCGTCTCATATTTGTACGGCAACTGAGAGGGCACAGTGCACCGATCGCTGCTGTGGCAATCAATGAAATCACCGTAAGTTTTTTTTCTTCTTCTGTCACTACCAATAAAGTATAATTTGACATACTGTATTTTCAAAACCTATTTTGCAGGGTGATATTGCCACTTGTGCTGGAACATGGCTACATGTGTGGACCATAAATGGCATTGAGCTCGCCTGTGTCGACACAGCTGTGGGCCGCGCTGACCGAATGCAGCAAATTCTTTGTGTGGCCTTTTCCCAGATGCATGAGTGGGACTCAAAGAATGTCATTATGACTGGCTCTACTGATGGTGTTGCAAGAATGTGGTCCATGGACTATGTACAGGTCCCCAAAGACGAAAAACTGACATCAATTGACTCAGATGCCAGCCAAGAGAAAAATGAAAATGATGCTCCAGAAGTTCCCGTGGGGAAAGAGGACTCACCATGTGGAGAACCGGTGACTGATATTGTGAAAAGACTGAGCTCGGTAGGTTTACTAGCAAAGAGTGGATCGGAGAGTAGTCTGTCTGATTCTGAAGACAAACAAAACAAGACACTGGCCAAAAAAGAAGTGGAAAACAAAGATGAAGAGAAGGAGCACTGTAGTGATGGAGCGGATGAGGGAGACAACTCTGCTGCACCAACCAATGTAGTTGCCACACCTATGGTCAGGGTGAGCTCATCTTCAGAAGTGTCAAACATTGCGGGGTCCGACATTCCCCCAGTGCGCGTCAGGCGTAGGTCCTCTGCCGCCCGTGCTAACGCTCAGTACAGAAAGAGTGAGGGTTGCTGGTTGAGTTCAGATAATCCTGTTGCCATGGAAAAGAGCATTGACTGCTTGGATCCAGACTCGGCCCTGGGCGGGGCGGCACAGCGCATACGAGCCAGCAAGAGTGACACAAGCCTCACAGACTCCTTCGTCATGGTCAGTGGAGAGGGAGATGTGGATGAAGATCAGCCTGATGGAGTTCTACGAAAATCTAGTGTTCAGAATGTTTTAAGAGATGGTTCGTAGTTTGTAATTTATTCTTTCGTAAATTTTTTGTTTCTAATTTTTGCAGCTTTCTATATCTTTTGAATTTGTTTTTGTTTTAAGGATTCAAGTGGCAGAGACAGTTGGTTTTCCGAAGCAAATTGACCATGCACACTGCATATGATCGAAAGGATAATACAGAGCCTGCTTCAATTACAGCCTTAGCAGTTTCCAAGTATGTATGAATTTGACTGTGGTGGATTGCATGTCTTCCAGAGTTTTACTCTAATACTTTCACATCATGCCTTCTTTTCAAACAGAGACCACCGCACAGTATATGTTGGTGATGCCAGAGGCCGAGTATTTTCATGGTGTATGTCCGAACAACCCGGTAGAGGTATAGCAGATCATTGGCTGAGAGATGAGGGTGCAGAGAACTGTGTAGGCTGCAACGTCCGATTTAACCTTTATGAACGTAAACATCATTGCCGCAATTGTGGACAAGTTTTCTGTTCCAAGTAAGTCACCTTTTTCTTTAGCTTTGCTTCATCAGCATTCACTTCTCCCTAACTTTTAAAAAAATTTATGTCTTTTCTCAGGTGCAGTAAATTTGAATCTGAAATATCTCGCCTACGAATACTAAAGCCTGTGCGAGTATGCCAGGGATGTTATGCTACATTGCGAGGATCCAACCGAAACTCCGCAGGATATTCTTAGTTATCACAATAGTTGTGTGATAGGTTTAGTTTCTATGAATCAGTCATTACTCAGTTAGGATCGAGTCAAATGCTTGCTGCTTTGGAGAGGTGTAGAGTATCCAAGTCGCACTTAGCTGTCATGAGCCTAGGGCTTCAGTGATTAGACTTAGCTGTGTGATAGGTACTAAGCAATAAAATTCTATTTCTGTTTCAATTTATATACTGAATGTGCTTTCAATAATTCAGCGTGCTTTAGTAAACTAGTTGTTCACAGTTCTAGGTGATGTGATGTGTAATGTCTTGGTTTCCTATTTTATGTTCTAAGCAGGATTGTCACATTTACTTTTACATTTACTATTTGGACAATTTGACTTGTTAATGTATTGTGAGATTGTGAACCCTTTGGCTGTACTCAGGCCTTATGATTCTGATAAGGGTTGTGGTTTATGAATCTTTACACACAATCCATCCTTTGTTTTCTGCACATCAGTCTTCCACCTAAGGTGTGTTGTGCCAACCAAAATATCAGTGTTCAGTTTTATTTTATTCCTTTTTAAGACCTGGAGGTGATTGATTGGTTGTGTGCTTTCTCACATCTGTATAGCTGTGTGTATGTCAATGAATCCTGATGATGATTAAGTGCTTTCTTTTAGAAGCCTGTTGCATACTTTTTCTGTTGCATTTATGTTAGCACTTATATCCCTAACTAAACTGCATTCAATGTATCTCTCAAATAATTTGATTGCAACTTGGTGATGTGATCTGTCTTAATATTTACAAGTAAAAAAAAAATGCTAGTCTTTGTATATAAATGTGTTCCAAAATAGTAGCTTTAGGGAGGTGTGAAACAGGTACTGAAAAGATGTTGATACTTTTACTGTGTTTGGCTCTGTTGATTTGTTACTCAGCATTATACCTATATGTTGAATTTTAGCTGCAGTTTTTAAAATTGACTGTTGAAGTGTTAAAGGTACTCATATATTCCTACCTTGGCTGTTTTACTTATTTCGGTAAAACCTGCATATGATTGACATTTTTGTTTCCATGGTAGGATATTCATAGCAGGATATTTTCAAGACTTCCAAGATCTTCTACCTATGGCAACATTATGGCATTCTTCATATGCCGGTTTGACTTTGATTTCATTTTTATATTTTGTTTTGTTACCATTTTCCTCTCCTTTTCTCCTATGATCTGATAAAACCATCCTAACACAATGAGTTTTGTTTGTTTTGTCTTGTTTTTAATGTGTAAGAGAAGCCATAAGCATATGAGTGTGTTTGTGTGTTCCTTGTTTCTTGACTGAGGGCTGTTAATGGGTGCCTCCTCAATGTTGTTTTGTTGTTAAAAACTTCAGTATGCTGGAGCACCCCCAGTACAAATTGGCAACAGAGATTTTGTGACACACAGATTTGCTGTGATAGTGGATTGTTCACCATTCTCCCACTCTTTCATAATGCAAATTGTTTAGTAACATGGTTTGTAGACGTTTAATTTGTTGCTATGCAAGCAAAGCTTTCCTAAGCACGCAAGGTTTACTGTTGATTTATTAATCAGTATTTTTATCCTTTCTTTTATTTCTAATCCTAAGTTCTGTGATTTTATGACTTATTTTACCATGCACATTGTACTGTTGATAACAGCTTTTCTACATTCCTTTTATAGTCTGAACCTGTCTGACAAAATTTATGATTGTTTAAGCTGTCTCTTCATTTGTTCTATCAAAGCTAGATCATGAATCTTATAACCTTCAGTCAATCATTGTCAGTATTTTTAATGTTCTCTTTCTATATTATTTGATTGTTTAAGAACTTGGAAGACCCTACTCAATGTTATTTTAACCTTACCTTGACCACAGTCTTACGACAATATGTATATTTGAGCATGAATTTTACCCTGTGATTTGGCTTGATATATTGGCTTGCATTTATCGAAAAATATTGGGCGTTAGTGGCAGGCAGGTATGATTCAGTTGTCATGTCAGCATGAGGTGTTGATTGGAGTCATGTTGTCAGGCTATATTTTTCCATGTTGTGATTTGCAAAACAGATCTAAAATATCTTATGAATAGATTGTGGAGTAGATCGTGGTATAGATACTTGTCAATATTTATGCCAATTTAGTCAGTAGTGAAACTTGTGGAGTTAGTGTAGAATGTTTCCCATGACTTTCAATTAAATCTCTGTCTATGAATCTGAAGTTGAATGAAATAGTCTCTAGAGCATAGGATACAGACAAGTTTCAAGTTTTATTGCCATGAATTGTTACATTCATGTGAAAGTGCCATTCCTGAATTTTAAATGAATTGTACTGTACCTTGTTGGGGTAAGAGAAATTATATCAGAAATTATAAAAGTTCTGAATTTATTTAGTCACATTGTTGTTATGAGTGAGCATTATTTACGTAGGCAACTTGTGCAGCTGAAATAGTATGTTGAAGTCAGAAGTTGTGGTGGTGACTGGCACCTCTATTGGGCTAGATTAAGTACCTTTCTACTTAAAAATTTAACTCACATTTAACAAACTTTCATATCTGTTTCATGTAACAGATGATTAGGCCTCAGAATTAGATTCAATTCATTCTGTAGGTTCATCTTCTAACATGAGAGGTAATATGCTGGCGGTTGTTATAACTTTGGTTTTCAAGTCCTTTAACCTTGTGTGAACTATAATTTATACTCTTAAGTAACCTCTGTTGTAAGATGATTCTGACTTTTATTTTGTCAGCTGGCAAATGTGGTTTTGTGTGAAGTTCCTCAATGAAAAGTGTCTTACATACATATGGGTCAATGGGGACCTATTATTTGAATTACCAACCAGAAGTGCATTTTCTTGACAATAGACTTCTCATGTACCTAATCTTTCTTTCTCCTAAAGATTTTTGTGTGGTATCTTTGCTCCCATTGTAAACCAGGATTAAAACCGAAAGCAACTTTAGAGAGGTGTATTGCCCTTGAAATTTAGGCACCTCTGCTTTTCAGGCTGAGGCATAATGGAGGTGTCTTATTTTATTTTCTACTCTACTAGATTGTAATAGATTTTATTTTGTGAGAACACCAAGAAAATGGGAATTTTTTTGGAGTTTTTAGAAAGAAAAATAATAGCTTTCGAATTGTACTTTTTGGAGTATATAACACCAACCCCGTCCTTTTCTTTATTCCTTATCTCCAATTTGTTAGGGTCCATATCTGTAGCTAGTGATTTGAATTTACTGAATTGTCTTGCTGTGTGCATTGTGTTTTGCTAAACAGCCTGGTCTGTTTAAAACCACTGTTAGAAACAAAAATCTTGCTAGGGATCAATGGACTTGGTAGTCTTTCTTAGGTGTATTTATTGTGTGTGTAAGGGTGCTTCTTGCACACTTCTGCCTAACATATACACCATGCTCTTTTTTAGTATTTTATTTTTGGAGAAGTACCTTGTGAAAAAAGATGCATGAATTAATTTATTCTAACTTTTGTTCCTTATTTTTGAAATTTGTATCTTTTGTTGTCTTTTGTTTTGTTTTGTATAAAAAGAAAATAGTTTAATGAATTGCAACAAAAAAATCAACCAACCGAGCAAAACCAGTGCTTTCTTTCTCCCACCTTTGCATGTCATTATTTCATATGAATTTCTTACACAAATTTTCAGAAAAACCAACACAAATTTCGTCAAAGATAATCTGCCTTTATTGTCAAGCCACATAAATCAATAGCAAGTGACAAATGAAACAAATTATAGTAATAAGAAGTCACTTAGTATCACAAAGAAAATATGTTAAACAAGAGATAATACACCCCAAAGATCAAAGAAGCCAAATATAAAGAATCTTAAACAGATGCTTGTCTGGCGTTTTGAGATATGGTATGATTGATAAACTTCATGATCAGGTACAGAGGATATGACAGGAAGGACAAGCAATGAGGTACCCTAATTTTTTTTACAAGCGCTCCTTTGAGTCCTAGGTACTCAGCATTCTCCCTCAATTTCCTGAACTGATTCAGCGTGTTGACCACAGACATATAGGGTATCACAATATCACAGTCTCTGATAAAAATAACATGATTGGGTGATGAATCATTAGATAAGTATTCGGAATGCAGCATTTGAATGAGTGTTAACACTGAGTTCATCCACTTAATGATGAAGCGATTGAAAATTGAAACATCACATGAAGTGAGAGAAGAAGATATGAATTCAACAAAGACTAGAACATAAAAGCATAAATGTACATAAAAATATATACCAAGTTGCTTCATTAAAATTATTGTCCAGCGGTACTGACAGCTGTAGCATGGGTTAAACCATCTATAAGGCACAAAAATTGTGCATGATTCCTGGACATGCTTGCTACAAAACATGAGTGCTTTGTTTGCAGTACTCACCCATCCTATACAATAGCACATAAGCAAAAGCTTATAAATAATCTATCTTATATCAAATGGCTGACTTTCATTATTGTCATAATCATTCTATCGTTTACTTAGAATTATACTTTATAGTGACTGAAGACACAACAAAAAAAATGATGTAGGTGGGAACAACTTATCCCCCAGAAAACTCAACTTCATCATCACAGGTATGAAAAGCACATGTAAATAATGAGGAAAACAACTTTAAAAGTTGTTGAAAGCTAACAACACTATTCATTATAAATGTTTGACTTGCTTAGTGACCTTGCATAGTCACACCTTAGCTCAGTTATCATCATAATCATTATTCCGTACCTACAAAAAATTGTAGCATCAAAGCCCAAGAGCTTACAAAATCAACATTTCCACAATCTGAAAAGATATCAATGTGACAGCCCATAGAACATGGGCTTAATATGGTCACAAACCTCTATTCTCTGTTCTTTCTGAATGAGCTCGAATGATGTGACGTTTCAAATCAGCATTCCTTGTAAAGCGTTGGTCACAACTGGAGCAGAAATAAGGCTTTAATCCACTATGGGTTGTGATATGAGTTTTCAAATGAGTCTTTTGAGTGAAGCTTAGTCCGCAGGTGTCACATTGAAATGGCTTTTCACCAAGGTGAATTCGGATATGCTGCTGAAGATTACTTTTCTTGGAAAATCTTTGACCACAGTCAAGACAGACCAGCGGTTTTTCCCCTGAATGAATTCGTAAGTGTTTATGAAAATTGTCACTGGCAGAGAAACTTTTGTTACACATATTGCAGAAGTATGGTTTTTCGCCAGTATGGATACGCATATGTTTGTGCATATCGCCTGCTGTAAGAAATGACTTGCCACAGTTCTTACATGGAAAAGCCTTTCCAACTTGATGGGACTTCTCATGTTTACAGAGGTCGCTTTTCAATACATAGCTCTTGTCGCATTCAGAGCATTTATGACGTTTTCCAGAATGTACTTTCTTATGTTTTACTAAATCAGGCTGCCAAATGTAACATTTATCACACTTATCACATTTGTATTTAGTCTTCTTTTCCTTTTCAAAAGTACCATCAGAGTCGAGAGCTCCTTTCGCTGAGGGACCACCAAGCCCTTCATTGTGACTATCACTCAAGAAAGGAAGTGTTTGGTTTGAATCGGTACAGTTGAAGTCCGTCAAAGCTACTGAACAATCACTGGGAACAACTTGAGCAGATGTGTTAGAGTCATCATCATGGAATCCTGCATCTATAGGCGGAGCAGTTCTCCAAAGCTCATTCACAATAGAATCTATTTCCTCGACGGCTGCCTTGACATCTTGAGACAGCATGTGGCAAGTGGGGATGCCCAAGGAGGCCGGCAAGCCCGGACCTGCATCCCCCTGGACAGCTTGAAGGCTCGGGGACCGCGGCACCCAGTCGCCATCGTCCCACAAGTCTGGCCACGGCGCCTGTGCCTGCTCCTGTGGCACCCAGGGGAACTCCGGGGAACTGCACCAGCCATCCATCCTCCTGCCTGGAGCCGAAGCCGAGAGTGGATCCCAGTCATGGAGGACGAATCATGCCTACAGCCCCGGGGCGGCCAGAGACACTCCGGTCAGGCCGCGACGCCGGAAAGCACTGTGAACACACAAAGCACCTCACAAACCTGCCAATCTGCCACCCTTCTTGTAGGTTACAGTGCAGGACCCCAGCCTCCTATCCTTTGCATGGCGACGGCAGGCTAGGCTGACTCCAGCAGAGTCACAACTTGCCTTCGGATGGGAAGAACGTCCGAGTTCGGGCACAGGAGGGGAAGCACGAGATCTTAACGTGAAAATCGGGAATGGTATTGTTTTCCAACTTCCAACCCTCCGGTGCCCGAAGTGCGAAGCGCCACCGAAGCTGTCTGCTGCGTCTTCTGCTTCGCTTTGTCACGTGACCCACCCCCGGCAAGATGGATCCCACCCCTCCAACTTCCCTCCCCTCCCCCCACCGCCACCCTCCCCACTCTCCCCCCACCTGTTCGGCGAAGAGCGAAGCCGTTTTGCCGAGAGGAAATGAATAATCGAGGCATTCCAAGAGCCTAGCCGCCGAGACAGCAAGGAACAGCAGGTGCTCAAACCGCCAAGTCCAACGAAATTCGTTTAGGCCTCTAGGGGTAGGGGGAGCCACCCGCACGCAACCGGCCCCGGCTCCAGGCTCCTGTCCAGGAGGTGCTGCTCTCTACCGACCCCTTGAGGTGACAGCCTGACGGCGTGGTTGCCTACCCGCTCTTCGGCAGGGGCTTGGCCGGGGGCCGAGGCCGCTGCCGCCGATCGTGTGCGTGCCGCGTGCCGATCGCGGATCTTCGCCGGCGCCGGCCAGCGCATCCTTTCCCTGAAGCGGCCCCAGCCCAGCAGGCTGATTCCGAACATCGCTGTCTCTCTCGCACCCGTAGCGCGCCTCATCTGCGTGCGAGAGAGACGGCGTGACGGAACGAGGTTGAGTCACTTGTTGAGGCAGGCCAGGCAGGCCGCGACACGCTTGGGCTCGTGACCCGACCCGACACGACAAGCGTTCTCAGAGTCAATCATGGCTAGCAGGCACCACGGCCGCGGCGCTGGCCCTTTCCCAGGGCGAGCCGCGACTGACGCGACCGCCAGGAGGCCGACAAAGCAGCGTGGCGGCCTGCCGTTGGACGTGGACGTGCAGGTCTCAACTTGCAGGCCCGGCCCGCGCGCGACCGGGACGCCGCGCCCGCCCCGCCCCGCGCCACCCGCGCCCTTCCGCTCCGCCGACGCCGACCGCCCCGGACTACGCCACTGCCACGCCGCCACTACCACCACGATCCTCCACCCCGCCGGGTCGTCGGTCCGGGTCGGTCGTTCTTCTCCAAGACGATCCTGACGTCGGCGGACTCGACTCTGATCGGCACGCGTGTGCTGCGAGGGCTCACGGCTCGCACGTGTCCTCCGGAGTCCAGTCGGTCTGACGTCAGCCTGCGTCAGCCTCGCCGGCAACGGCTGGAAGGACTTGGAGCCTCTCTCCGGACCCCTCCCTGGACAGCGGCCGCGGCAGGACATCCTAAGGACCTCTTCCTGGCCCGCCCTCGTCACCTGGGCGAGCCCCGGCCACGCCCATCACCGGCCATCGCCTGGACCGCAGACCGAGGACCGAGTTTGCGTTCGTCGCGGGGTGTCACTTCCGGCCCGGATCGACCAGGCCCCGTTTCGTTCCGTTCCGTTTCCGGGCCAAGGCACGAAGGCAGGGCGTCCAGGACCTCGTCCAGGACCTCGTCCAGGACCTCCGCCAGAACCTCCCGGAGGAATGCCAGCGGCCCCGAGGCGGCCCCGGCTCGCTGCAGCAGCGATTGAGGCATCCGCCGCACCCTACCTGGTACCAGCGCAGTATGCAACCAGCGCAGCCATCGGGTAAGTGCATTCGTTCATTTATTGGGGACGCCGCGAGCTCTTGATCCAGCCGCGGAATTCGCCCACAAGGCGTATAATCTGGGTGCGATACGGAGGACTACACTAAGAAACGCGCTGTCATTGTTGGATGTTAGATCCTCGGGACGTCAGGACGTGACTGTGGCGTATACGGTCCCTCAAGCGTCGCAACCGATCGCAACACCCCTGTGACACTCGAGGCACACCTCTTCAGGATAGATCCAGGACTTTACTCCTCTTACACGCGGTCGGACACTCAAAGGAACAGTCGGAACAGTATAGGAATTCCCTGGATTATGGGGGGGGGGAGAGCTTACCACCCGTGACGAATGACTGATGCAGGTGGTTAGGCAATTCGATGTAGTTTCAGCCTGTAAGTAGGCAACAAGCAGACTTTCCCGCAAGCCTCGCTTACGCCACGGTTCCTGAGAATTTTATACGTATGGAGGTGTTTTTGGTGAAACTCAGTCACCTAATGGTTGTGTTGTGTATACGGACGACGAGCCAGGCTTGTCATGCTTCTCAGTACAGTGAGACTTAGTCATCTTGCCCGTACGCGAGCGACGTGCAAACCGGCACGTTTTCGTGGCGTTCTGCGTTGGGCAACCTACGCGCAACCACGATTCGAATGGTTAAATAAATCCCGTGGGATACACATCGAAAAAAAGAGTGGCCCATGGGGGGATCGAACCCACGACCTTCGCGTTATTAGCACGACGCTCTAACCAACTGAGCTAATGGGCCAGTTGGTAGAAGAGCTCACACCTCTCCATCTGCTCCGCCTCGCATCGACCGGTGACGTCTCGTAGTGGGGGCAATGCGAGTGGAGGGGACTCGGCAGCTGTTCGGGTCCGCTTCGGGCGTGCTTCGGGTCTCGCGCGTGTGCAGCGTCCGGGAGGCGCCACGGCGGTCCTTTCGAACGCCTCGGGAGACGCGGAGGAGGTGGAGGTGGTGGAATGCAGCTGCAGCAGCTGGGTTCACAACGCGCCCTCGCGGGTCCTTCCGTCCTCCTCCCTTCCAGGAACGATTCCCGTTTTCCTCTTGAATCGTTGCCGCCGGCTGCGCTTGCTGTGTCGCTGGTGAGCTATGCTTGTTGAGATCAGCCGTGCGAAGCGCGAAGCGAAAGGGGGCTGAGCTGTGCCGCTAGCGAAGGGGTGGTGAAATATCGGAAATCCCGTCGGACACAACACCAGCGCTGTCCCACCCCAGGCCCGGCAGCTCGACTGCTGACAGTGCTTCGTCGCTCCGTCTCTCTCCCTCCCCTACGCGACGCCCCATATGACGCCCATGAGTGAGAGAGAGACAGAACGACGCGCTACGGAATCGAGCTGTAGTTCCCCGGCAACGTTATCGCCGTGTTTGTGCCGCCTTCCCAGGGGAGGGAAGTCCCGGCCAGGCGCGCCAGGCGGTTTGTTTTGGCGGTACAGTCGCGCTGTCTCCCGCACACACCTATACGTGACGCGACGACGCGACGAAAGCACTGTTCTGGCCGTCGCCGCCTCCACCCTGGACACGTACTCCTTGGACTTGGGCCGATAATTGGATTAGAGTCCGTGTCGTGGTCGGGGCGGTCGCGGTGCCAGGAGAGCGAGAAGGGCGCTCGGCCTGTCTCCCTCGCACTCTCTCGGAACGCCCCGGGAGTGCGAGAGAGACAGAGGAGGGCTGGGGAAGGGGGAAGGGTGCCTGGCCGGCAACCAGGCCCCGACCTACTGGACGCCCTCCGCGGCCTGCTCGCTGTGCGCCCTGGCACCGCCCTGGCGCACAGTGGGCCAGAAGACCGGTGGAGCGGCCAAAACTCTAGACGCGATTTGAGCTCCAGAGTCGCTAAGCAGGACTCGTGTGACCCCACCAATGGATTGCTCTCCGAACGAGGAATCCATTGGTGGGGTCACAGGTTCGATTCGAGTCCCATTTAGCGACTCTGGAGCTCAAAATGCGTCTAGAGTTTTGGTCGCCTCCACCGGTCTTCTGGCCCACTGTGTGGCGGCGCGGCTCGCCTTGAACACACCCGCGTCCCGCTGTCGGTACCCGAGTACCAGACCGGGATCGCGGTATTAACGGACCACCATTTCCTTTCACCGGTGCGTTTACGCGCCGGCCCCCAAGTGCCTGGTTAGGCCGCAGCTAGGCCGCAGCTAGGCCGGATGGAACTGGACACCTCCCCGACTGCGTCACCCGGGGTGTCACCTTCCACGGCGGGGCACGCACACACACGCAGACACGCACCGCGGCGCGGGCCCCTTTAGTAGTGGGCGCCCCCCAGGTGTCGTCCCGTCATCCGCAGCCCCTTCGGCTGTTTCTCCTGTTGGTCGCTCTTTCCCTCTCGCGCCAGAACGGAACGCCCGAGAGAGACTCAGAGCGACGACGGCAGCAGAGCTGGGATGCCTGCTGCGTGGCTATGCGCCGCCCCCGCGCTGACCACGCGGCAGTGTGTCAGCTTCGGCAGCAGAGCTGGGATCGGCCTGCTGCGTGGCTGCGCCGCCCCCGCGCTGACCACGCGGCAGTGTGTCAGCTTCGGCAGCAGAGCTGGGATCGGCCTGCTGCGTGGCTGTGGCTGCGCCGCCCCCGCGCTGACCACGCGGCAGTGTGTCAGCTTCGGCAGCAGAGCTGGGATCGGCCTGCTGCGTGGCTGCGCCGCCCCCGCGCTGACCACGCGGCAGTGTGTCAGCTTCGGCAGCAGAGCTGGGATCGGCCTGCTGCGTGGCTGTGGCTGCGCCGCCCCCGCGCTGACCACGCGGCAGTGTGTCAGCTTCGGCAGCAGAGCTGGGATCGGCCTGCTGCGTGGCTGCGCCGCCCCCGCGCTGACCACGCGGCAGTGTGTCAGCTTCGGCAGCAGAGCTGGGATCGGCCTGCTGCGTGGCTGTGGCTGCGCCGCCCCCGCGCTGACCACGCGGCAGTGTGTCAGCTTCGGCAGCAGAGCTGGGATCGGCCTGCTGCGTGGCTGCGCCGCCCCCGCGCTGACCACGCGGCAGTGTGTCAGCTTCGGCAGCAGAGCTGGGATCGGCCTGCTGCGTGGCTGTGGCTGCGCCGCCCCCGCGCTGACCACGCGGCAGTGTGTCAGCTTCGGCAGCAGAGCTGGGATCGGCCTGCTGCGTGGCTGCGCCGCCCCCGCGCTGACCACGCGGCAGTGTGTCAGCTTCGGCAGCAGAGCTGGGATCGGCCTGCTGCGTGGCTGCGCCGCCCCCGCGCTGACCACGCGGCAGTGTGTCAGCTTCGGCAGCAGAGCTGGGATCGGCCTGCTGCGTGGCTGTGGCTGCGCCGCCCCCGCGCTGACCACGCGGCAGTGTGTCAGCTTCGGCAGCAGAGCTGGGATCGGCCTGCTGCGTGGCTGTGGCTGCGCCGCCCCCGCGCTGACCACGCGGCAGTGTGTCAGCTTCGGCAGCAGAGCTGGGATCGGCCTGCTGCGTGGCTGCGCCGCCCCCGCGCTGACCACGCGGCAGTGTGTCAGCTTCGGCAGCAGAGCTGGGATCGGCCTGCTGCGTGGCTGCGCCGCCCCCGCGCTGACCACGCGGCAGTGTGTCAGCTTCGGCAGCAGAGCTGGGATCGGCCTGCTGCGTGGCTGCGCCGCCCCCGCGCTGACCACGCGGCAGTGTGTCAGCTTCGGCAGCAGAGCTGGGATCGGCCTGCTGCGTGGCTGCGCCGCCCCCGCGCTGACCACGCGGCAGTGTGTCAGCTTCGGCAGCAGAGCTGGGATCGGCCTGCTGCGTGGCTGCGCCGCCCCCGCGCTGACCACGCGGCAGTGTGTCAGCTTCGGCAGCAGAGCTGGGATCGGCCTGCTGCGTGGCTGCGCCGCCCCCGCGCTGACCACGCGGCAGTGTGTCAGCTTCGGCAGCAGAGCTGGGATCGGCCTGCTGCGTGGCTGCGCCGCCCCCGCGCTGACCACGCGGCAGTGTGTCAACTTCGGCAGCCGCCCGAGAAACGGTCTTCACGTTCTTCACGTGTTGCTGCACGCGGAACCGTGTCGCGTCTATGGTGCGGAGTGCGGGGGCGCATGGGTTGGGGGCCGAAAAGAATGCACACAGACAGCTGCAGGTCGATTACGCTCACTTTCGCAACTGTGCCTTGTCTAGCGACGTCTAGCGCACGTGGTGTCTCGTGTCTCTGCCGCACTCTTCGGAGAAGAATGTGCGGTTCCGTTTCGGTGTAGCGCAGTCCTAGCGCCACCCACTGCACCGCCAGCACCGCCTGCACACAGTGGGTCAGAAGACCGGTGGAGGCGGCCAAAACTCTAGACGCGTTTTGAGCTCCAGGGTCGCTAAATGGGACTCGAACAGAACGTGTGACCCCACCAATGGATTCTCTTCGAACGAGGAATCCATTGGTGGGGTCACACGCTCGGTTCTAGTCCCATTTAGTGACTCTGGAGCTCAAGCTTGATCAAAACGCGTTTAGAGTTTTGGCCGCCTCCGCCGCTCTTCTGGCCCACTGTGCAGCACCGCCTGCACCGCCACAAGCTGCACCGCGCGCGCACTGCAGCCGTGCGCCGCGTGGTCAAGTAGTGGGGGTTGCTGTCGCCCTGCAAAATAATGGTCCGGACTGCTTCCTGTGGCCGAGCCAGCCAGAACGCCAGAACGGCCAGAACTGACATGCCTGCATTCTGACTCTGCAGTCCTTTCCAGGCCTGGCGACGGGACGGGGCGACCCTTTATTTTATTCCGTGCTTCCACCGCCATCTTCCTTTGCCATCCGCCACCCCGCTCCTCCGCGCCATCCTCCGCGTTGTGCGAGTCGCGTGTCGGCGACTGCAACCGCTGCGATATACTGCGCGGATTCGGTCTGGTCTTGTCTCTCTCGCACTCGTTGGGCGCCAAGAGGGGGCGCGAGAGAGACAGAGCGACGAGGCGCTGTGCGGAATCAGTGTGGAGGGTGGCGGCGGCGGCACAGTGCCCGGCACCCCCTGCGTGAGGCACACTGTGGCACCCCTACACCGCGGAGGGGCGACGACGACGACCCGCACGCTTGTTGTGGCTGCGGAGCGCGGA